TATTTTAAGGCATATAACATCTATACAATTAAAATCATATAATTAATGATATTGCTACATAAAATGTCGCTACCCCATAGAGTTATATGATAATATACACATAAATACACTACTAATAAATATTATATAACTATTACAATACCGTAAAGCCTCTAAGACAACTAGTTCAGCTATATTAATACTTATAATCTTTTGTCACTTTCGTCCAAACTTACAAATCACTTTGAAAGAAAGGGACGCAACACCATTAGCTAAAACAGTTGCTGACAAATTTTTCATAAATACATAGACAATATATAATATAAATACTTAATAATCTACATGACATTAAATAGATAATTAACGATCAATTTTCTATAATTAAGACTGTGTTTTATTAACAATAATGACGTCACATCCTACTCAAATCAATAGGGCTGCGACATTTTATTCAGTAGAGATTTTTACATTTATATTCTTAAAAATAAATTTGTATTTACACATTTCTAATTACGATAACGAATTCACGTTTGACTAGAATGACATTAAGAAGTTTATAATCTGTTGATATGACAAATTTAATACAAATATATAGGTTCGTCTATGAAATAAAATTGTATGTGTGTGCGTTTCTTTAATGTATCGAAGTAAATGCTCGCATGCTGATTGATACAATTGCAAGTACCACGCGTTAAAGGAGAGATACTTTATTTAAATTCAAAATAAACTTTATTTAAATAGTCTTATAAAAAAAAATCATAACTCTATTATATTTTTAGAAGGCTGCTGTCTATTAGAAACTCAACGATCAACTCTTCAAACCTTTATTAAAACATTATGTATTTTATACTAAACTAGGTGGTATTTTGCGGAAGTCCATGTCACTGGTTAGTTCATTACATTAATAATAGCGGAAATAAACAAAATAATTCTAATCAATTAACTAATAACATTGTGTATTTATTTAAGTGTATATATACTATATCATTAGCATTACTGACTAACATCAAGCCTGTTTACCTTGTGGGTTATCATTTAAAGAGTTTCCCCCATGTTCAAAAAACTTAGAACAAACCTAGTAACTACTAGAGTATAAAAATACTTCGATAGCCGAAATGGGATTATGAAATGTAAATTTTTGTATGAATAACAGCCGGTAGGTGTTAATATTTTTTTTTTATTTAATCAATAAGTAAAATTTATAATCAATCAGTAATTCACTCTCTCTCTCTCCCTCTAAACGCGCGTAATCGCGGTAAAAACGCTCGCATTAACTCTCACAGTACGAGAGCACAAAATACACATTTTATTACTATATCAGTTCTTTAAATAATTATAGGACCATTAGTTATTTTATCCCATATTAATAAATATTAAATACGTAAATAGCGATTTCCATAAATTTTATTAATAGCCGTTTATTTTTAAATTCATACCATAATATGTTAGTATCTCTATCTAACGATTAGAGCCTGGGAAACATTCTTGTTACTGGCAATAACAAAAATGTTTCCATATTTAAATGTCTACAGCGTTATACTAACATTAAAAAAAAAATGCCCAATCAATTTTAAGAGTTTTGTTTCTTAATTTGAAACTATAAAATATTAATTAAATTCGAAATTTGAAAGCCAGGGATTAAACATTTTATTCGCTTTATTAAGTTTAGGAGGCGTTTGAATTTATCTTTTTTTTTTATATAAATTTCGCACCAAACGAATAGAAGACAGTATAAGTAAGGAAGATATTGTATACAATAACTTGTAGAGAGATCTATTCGGAAGTTATTTAGTGATGGTCATTAAAAATATATTTTCTATATAATTTTTAGCATAAAGATTGTTTTTATAATTGTTTTCGTATGTTCTATATTAAGTGAATGTATCTATTGAATTGTAATCTATAGGACATCAAATTTTTAGCTGTTATGTATTTGTAAAATGTAGAAAATTATCCAGAAGTTTGAAGTTCATAAAAATAAAGCGTACATCACCACCCGCAGAGATATGGGATCGTTTTATCTTTGAAATTCACAAATTTTTGAGATTAAGGAGTTACAGTTTATGATGATAAACGTGCATACAGCCCATCCAATGGTAAACGGTTACGCGTGTGCTGCCGACCTATATTTTAAGTAGGATTTATAAAACGTTATTATCTCAATTACATCTCTTAAATTAAGAGCAGCAGCATTCCTTTTTAAACATCACCAAAGCCTAACTGCGGTTGCCAAACGTGGCAACTACTGACGCAACCCCTCAATAGGTGAAGCCTAAGTTTAGTAAAGGACAGGTAAAAAACTGGTATAATGATCTCTTAAACTAGTGAATTAAAAAAAAATAAGAAAGATGTTACAAAATTACTCCACTAGGTCTTTCTTGTGCGTTCCCACATCTCGTAATAGGTAGTCATTGTTGAAACATGGACATAAAGCTAACCACACATTTTACAAACAGCATAGACAATTCAAAATAACCTCTAAAGGAGCATCTACCGCGCTATCTTATCTAACATTAATATATTATAACCTATGTTATTATCACAACGTTCCCCTACAATTCAATTTGTCACTATATACCTCCATATAATATAATTTGAGCCATTTTCGAAAATATACTTGTCATGAACACATGCGGACTCTCTCTCTAGTAAGCCTTCGAAAATATATTGGAGAAGAGTTTGGGGCGATTAAAATAAATAAATATTATTGGATATACATATTCCATAACGCCATTTAATTCCAAACTATATTACAGCTTGCAAAATGGATACCAAAAAAAATTATGAACGGCGAGATCATCAAAATATACAGAAATACAGAGTAGACTTGATTTTGTACTCTGTGCGTTATAGCATGGTGCGAATGACAGCTTATATTCTGACAGTTGTAAATTTTTATACCACTGACGTGACAAACAAGCATACGGCCCACCTGATGGCAAGCGGTCGCTGTACTCTATGGATGTTTGCGACGTCCGTTGTTATTATTTTTCCTTTTAATGACCTGTTAGAGATAATTTACTATTACAGATGGGTAATATTCGAAATCTATATATTGATAACTATCTATTGCGATACCGCCCATACCAGTCGCATATCTATACGAACGGATTCTTCTTTTCGATATTACATACTGGATAACCGATGATTAATTTATCTGTTATTGAGCCAATACATGTATAGATATTGTAACTAAAATATATAGGTATTACCATATATTACCCATTTCTACTTGGCCATAAAGCACGGAGAATAGTGATTAATGAAACATCTTATCGTATCCAATATCATTATTAAAAAAATAACTGTAATGTGAAATCATTAATTATTCCCATATATACGTATATAATGCAAAATAATACATCTACTATTTCATGAAAATACTATCTAAACTATGCTAATCATTTTTTATACCACTGAGATGACACAACTGTACAGAAAGACTGATTGACTGAATAAAACGATTATTGTGCTCTATGGATGTCAGCGATATCCCCTAGACCTTGTCAGTTACAAACGCATCTAATGATAAATACGTTATCTGCACTTATAAAAAAGAATGAGAAGGCAGTTGTCTCGTTCTATCTCGTGCGATCAATCGCGATATATATATATATAGGCATATTCGTTTAATACTTGTCTAAGGAGGATGGGTTAATTATGCAATGGCGATTCCAACGAAACCTCACGCCTTTTTTGAAGAGCCTATTGTGTAATTATGAATATGTACTATATATATACAGAATAATAAAAACATGTTGCCAATAAGTTGCTATGTATATATTATATGTATATATATATATATATAACTTTGAGCTGATTTATGTTTTTTTTTTCTCTCAAACCTCTTCTCCATTATTCTTTACTTGTTTATTAACTTGGTACTTAGTATTGCATATACCAGCGATTCCTAAAGACACTAGAGAAAGCTCATTTATTTATTTTCTTATTTTACAGCGATGATTGTTATAAATTGTGACAAGGTAACTAATTCATCCATCATGGCCACTCTACTCTGTCTCTCTCTCCAGCTGTACTTACCCGTCCCCCGCCCTCACCTCATAAATATTTAATATTATACAAAATAAAAAGAATTTATTGACTGTTCCGAAACATTGGATCTTTAGGAATCGCTAACATTTATCAATCGTTATAAGCACAAATTATTTTAAAGCCAAGTATGTATTATTACAAAAAAAACACATGTTGTAAATCCGATTTTTTTTTTTATAATGCGCAATGTGCGCATTTCTTCACTATGCATCAAACTACGATTCACTTGTACGAGATGTTTCAAATTGAGCGCTTTTAATTTCAAATAATATAAATGTCATACCAAATTTTAACAAAATCATTAAAGCAACATGAGGTGGTGTTTTATTGTCAAACAGGGTACAGAATAACACCTGAGTCCTGAAGAATAGCAACCGTTATACCTTAGACTGCATGGAAGAATGAGTTTTGATTTATTCGAGATTAAGATCATGGAATAGACTATCGGCGGTATAGTTACGCCACTGTATATAAGTTACATGTTATTACATTTAAAAAAATTAGTGTATGGTCCCGGCATAGAATAAGCCACCCCTTCCGATCCCGTGGGTAGATAATAGGTAGTAGCGTCCCTCTTAAAACAGCTCCAATGCCTAACTGCGGTTGCTAATCCGCCTGCCAAGCGTGACAACCATTGGCAATACCCCCAAAGGGGAGGCTGATGTTCAGCAGTGAACAGTTAAAGGCTGATATGATGATGATATTAAAAAAAAGGTCGCTCAATTTGAATAACCTCGTTAATTTGTAGCAAGTCATGGAGTTACACTGTTATTAGTATTAAAAATTGAAGAACAATTTTAATAAAAACGTTTATGTGTATCTGTAGATGGTAACACTATTTTGGGGTTTGAATTATCGAATTTCGAATTAGTAGAGCGCTCGTTGTATTATCGACTATTTATATAATATATATATATATATATATATATATATATATATATATATATATATATATATATATATATTCATACTGTGATTTTTCAGCGTTTTGTAAAATTTTCATGTAGCATTTATTGGTAAGTATTAGAGATTAGAAAGCAGATTGCATTATATAAAATTTACAGACTGAAAATCAAGTTTAATATCTCCCACTTAAGGGGCATTCTACAAATGAAATTGAATACTTTTTCCATATATATTTCTTCTTTTATTATAGAAAAAAGTACAATTTCACTAGAAAAACACGTTATTTGTTTTGAAAAAAAAAAAAACAGCTTTCAGATCATCAAGGCTCAGATTTTGTAGTTTTTTCTTTCTAAAGAAACATGGATTATGTTTTTTAGAAAAAAAAAATTACATCTTCACTGATAGAGCTTACCTGTTTCGATTTAAGCTTGTATATGGCATTCATATATGTATATGGCGAGCAAATTGTATTGCTATTAAATTACATGTCATTTTATTATTTTGAATTCTATTTTTATAAGCATAATGTTTATTTTTCCATCCATATTTCCATTTAAAGCTATTATTAGCAATCTATTAGGAATTAAAACAATTTTAGTATACAACATTATTATCTAAAACTTCTCTCAGTCATATTTATTAAATAATATAGCACATTTTAAACAATACAGTTGAGACGGTCAACGTACGTAATGCCAATAAGCATTAGTGTTACCATTGTAACGTCGATTGTCGCTCAATCCGATTTGAGTATCGATTATCGAATAAGATTAGTCGATCAGTCGTATTAATTTAAATGCACATTACGGATTTTCGAAGCACTTTGTATTATCATAATAATGGTAGAATTATAGTTATAATTTGTATGAGATGTAAAGTTATTTCTATGTAGCCAACTATATGTAATAATTTCTCTTTTGGTGTTAAGTTTTAAAGCTTTTGAAGGGATATTTCTAGGGATTCTGGGATATTTCTTATAGAAAAAAAATTAAATTAAAAAGAAGTGTAAATAATTGGTATGTAAGATTGGACAAGTAATTTGAAATAGAATCGTTTCAACGATTAACCTAAATCTTACTCGTTAGAGAGGATAATTAAATCCCAAATTAAATAAAGAAGCAGAATCTTCCAATTTAATTTTTGTATATACAAATATTATCTTTTTAACAATAAAGATACACCCTAAAAGCGATGCTACCTATGTCTTATAAATAAGATACAATGACTATTATAAAATGTATTTAGAAAGGTCTGAATGCTATATGGTCATATCTATTTACGCTGCTAAAGGCACGATTCTACTTTACCATAAGTCAACCATAAACTAGTAAATAGTTACATAGACATGAAATTAATTTTCTCGATTCCTACGCTTCCTATATACAGAGGTCGCTTTGTGACTATATGAATAACTATAACAATTACTAAAACTAGTATAAATAATAAATTAATCAGATCATTTCATGTAACACAAATTCAAGATAGAATACATAGAATATTAATCTATAATGTGTCTTTGAAATGAAAAAAAAAATTAAAATGAAACATTGAGGTCGAATCTGAGGCGTTAATTCTCTAAGTCTTTCCCTTAACGTAATATTTTAATTTAATAATTTCTCGAAATTATTGTTTCATGGACCATCATAAATTGTTACAAATTTAATTCATATGTGTCTTCTCATTCATTTTATTAAACATTCAGCCCGTCTGATGGTAAACGGGGTTACTGTAGCCTATAGACCCGTTGTTGACCCTAAAGAAACCTTAATACGCCCATTTTAAAGAACTTCATGCTGTAGTCTCTAAGGAGAACCTCGGCAGAAAGATCATTACACGACCTGAATGTGTGTGCAGTTTCGCCAGAGTTTCCCTCCGATTTAGGGAAATGGCAACTCAGAATTGACACCAATCATTCAATCCATCGATATTTTATCGATATTATCATTGTACATCACTAAACCAAGGTCACGTTTTTGGTTTATCTACTGTTCTGTTAGATTCTATTGATATACAATCTGTTGCGATAATAACCTGTCAATTACGCAATGCTATAGAGATACAAATACTTGTTAGAAGGATAAAAATATATTTGATTCTATGTAATTATTTTCTTTTTTAACACATCCCTTCTATATTTAAATTGAAACTATTGTCTATGGTGTTTATAAGCGCTTTGGTTGGATACGAAATCCGTAATGTGCTGGAAGATTCTAGATTAGGCTAATGCTGCATTGCTGTTACCCCGTGCATGGTGAGGAATCCATGGAGGTCTCGGGGTACTTGCGAGGGGTTGTACTTGGCTCCGTGCATGGCCAGCGTGGCCGCAGCTAGGCAAGATAGCCGCGGACTTAGCGCTGCCCGGACTAGGTGTTCTGCTGGACCTGGGAAGATTATTGTTTCTTATTTTACTAAATTCTACTCGCGACTTTGTCTGCGTAACTGGGTAAAAAGTAGTTTATGTCCTTCTCCATTCCAAATAGAATGCATACCAAATTTTATGATCGTTAAAAGGCTGAGATGTAACAAAGTTATGTTTATAATATTAATAAGCATAATAAATAGATTTGTTTTTTTTTTATACAACTTAGAATGACAAACAAGCTGACGGCCCACCTGATGGAAAGTGGCAACTGTCGCCTATAAACATGAGCAGTACCAAGGACATAACAGAGTATACTGTTTCGCCCATGATACCCCCCATGCGTTGCCATTCCTGAGGTCTCAGATGTTATTCCTCTGTACCCTGTGAATTCACGCCATATCCCACCCTTCAAACCGAAGCCATGTAAACACAACTGCTTTACGGTAGAAACACGAATGGGACAGAAGTACCCAAGCAATCGACTTTTGTACAAAGTCTCTCTCTCTATTTTTATGCATATTAAAATAGCGTCAATAGCTAAAAATAGTCGCGTTTTCTCAATCAAATTACTACCGTATGTTTTATAAAATAAATTGAGCGATTGATGAATGTGGAGGAAGCGAAAGATGTATATTTAAAATAGAGAATTTAGCGTTCAACTATTTCTTCGTACCTCAGTGGAAAACAGGTGTGATGGATATGCATTTATTTATTCATTTAACTTCATATATATAACAAAGGTATACATGGCGGACATAACACCTAACTAGGCTGTCTGTACCAGTCAACCACATATGCACTAATATGAAATATCTAATATATATATATATATATATATATATATATATATATATATATATATACATACATATATATATATATATATACATACATATATATATATATATATATATATATATATATATATATATATATATATATTAGATTTTATCCATATTACAAAAATTTTGTTACAACGATTTGGTTTTTAGTTTTACGACCGTTTTACAACTTTCCATAAAAAAAATATAGAAAATTATATTTATAATCAAATATACACATAAAGTAAATGTATGTATGTATTGATTGATTGAATAGAATTAAAAGATCTTACTTCCAATGGCGGCGACCAGCGGCGTGATTCCGTCCGCGTCCATAGCATCGACGTGTGCGCCGCGGCCGAGCAATTCGCACACTGCGCCGCACACTGCTTCACTGCCTTGCTCGCGCTCGTCTGCAACCATCATCATAGCAGGCGTTCATTTTATATTAATTTTTTTTATTATTATAAATAATGTTTTACATGTGTCTGACAATAACTATCCACTACTAAACATAAATCTTCCCATAAGTGGGGGAGGGTTGCCAATAGTTGCCACGCTTGGTAGGTGGGTTGGCAACTGCAATTAAGATTTGGTGATGTTTAAAGAAGGATGATGCAGCCCATTCCTCGACCATTAAGTTGACACTATAAAAATCAGTGTGGTCTCCTGATGAATTTGAAATGATGTGTTGATAGGTGACAAGATGATAGGTATGGATAAAAAGGCAGGTCAGTTAACTAGCTCGTCGTAATAAGCACACTTGGGAATCAGCACGATGGTTTCCAAGGAAGGCCACATGGAGGTCGACCTGACAGGGTATATTGTTAGCAATGGGGACTTGTAGTCCGTAAGAATATACTACAAAATAAAGGACTAAATACTTTAACAACTAAAATAGGTTCGCTAATCGATTAGTTTTTTTATAAATAAGAGAATAAATATTATGGTACATTAGCTTTGACCCGCGACTTCACCTGCGTAACCGGGCAATGTTCATTGATGAGGATAAAAAGTACCCTCTGTCCCATTCGTGTTTCAACCGTGAAGCAGTTGTGTTTACATGGCTGTGTTTCAGTTTGAAGGGTGGGATATAGCGTGAATTTACTGGGTACAGAGGAAGAACACCTGAGTCCTCAGGAATAGCAACGCATGGGGGTATCATGGGCGAAACAGTATACTCTGTTATGTCCATGGCACTGCTCATGTGTATAGGCGACGGTTACCACTTTCCATCAGGTGGGCCGTCAGCTTGTTTGCCATTCTAAGTTGTGTAAAAAAAAAGCCACTAAGAGACAATAAACACACTTTCACATTTATAATATTAGTAAGGACTAACTTGTTAAAGAATATTGACATATTTAGGGTTTTTTTTTTCCAAGTGGGCAGGGAGGAAGCTTCGTTCGGATTATGGGATGGGCACCAGCCAATTCTGAGATGGGTATGGCTTAAACGTCATCATTATTTCAGCTGTCAACTGATGAACATAGGTCTCCTTCTATTGAAGGGTGGGGGAGGAGTTTGCCAATAGTTGCCACGCTTAGCAGGCAGGTTGGTAACCACAGTTAAGCTTTGATGTTCATTACTCATACCTGGTGTAATTTGGTAGGATATGAGCGCGACGTGGAGCGCCGTCCTCCGGGAGTCGTCCGCGGCGTCTATTTCTAAACCACACTCCAGCAGCAACCTCAGTGACCTTGTACAGGGGAATCTGTAAATATGTTGATGTCGATAAATAATTTGCAGAAAAATATAATTAACAGAAATTAATATGGCCCTACAGGGAATCGAACCTCATCTTTGCAGATCAATATGTCCACCACTGCATCGCAGAGGTCCTTGTTGTATCAGCCGTTGACTGTCTCCTTCTATTGGAAGATGGGGGAGGAGTTTGCCAGAAGTTGCCACGTTTGGCATTCGAGTTGGCAACGGCAGTCAAACTTTGGTGATGTTTTAAAAGGGACGCTGTTGCCCATCCCTCGACCATTAAATTTCCTTAGTCGCCTCTTACAACACCCACGGGAAAGGAAGGGTTGGCCCATTCTATGCCAAGACCTATAAGGCAAGTCATTGTATAACTTTAAATGTTATAATAAAGATTTAAGCGTATCAAATTCAGTAAGCGCTGACACGCTGCAGAATAAACAAATACGGAGACATCTACTGTCTCGTTCTGTCTCAGCCGCGGCAGTAGCGAAAACGTATCTATCGACAGATAGAACAAGCTTCTAATAAAATGTGTTCAAATACTAACTGACAAACGTCGCTAGTATGGAAGTCGTCGACGGGCGTCCGCCTGTCGGCAGCCAGATGTAACAAGGTCTGTCCGGATCGCAGCCGAGTGTTTCTTAGACCGAATATCGCGCGGCGGATCGAACTTGCCGTCTCGTCCTGCAAATCAAATATTATATAATATAAAATAATAGGTATAGATAAAAAGAGAACATTTTACACTCCTATTAGTGTGTTACAGGTGCAAACCCCTTCCAAACCATATTACAACATACCAATACATATTGCACAATAGCTGTTCCCACACAAAGAATCCCAGAAAGAATGAAGACACACTTTACAAAGAAAATTTGATAAAAGGGAAAACCACAGTATGGTGGGAAGAATTGGTGATGTTTTAAGACACGGACGTACGGTGTATATTTTAGGAATCAATCACCATTCATAGATATAACTAATATTATATAATTACTAATTTTAAATAAAGACTCTGTGTTAAATTATATTAAACGACATTGTGAAGTTAAATAGTATTTGTTTTTTAAAAAACCGTTTACCGACCGTCAGAAAGTAATAAGTGTATAAACATACGACATGTTTGTTTTGAATTGCACGTTAAATAATGCATTAAAGTGTATATAAATAAAATACGAGGAAATATGATGGCTGTTAACATTTCCATTCAGGAATGAGGTGACCGTCAACTAGTTTTCAATGCTGAGATGCATAAATAAAAAAATAAGAATAATTATATATTGTATAGATAAATGGAGTATCACTAGATGGAGTGATGATCTCAAATGCATTGCAGGTGGTTCAAGACTGTTCCTTATGACAGTCTATAGGGGAGGCTTATGTCCAGCAGTGGACGGATAATGGCTGAAATAATGATGATGATTATATATTGGGTACCATAAAAAAACTGACTTCAACTGTGACCAAAACCAGTTATATTGCTCTAAAAACTAAACTAATGAGTCAATTTTGATAAAATTTCTATTAAACCAGTTGTAAGTATATTTTTTTAGTTAAAAAAAGAATTTTCCAAATCGTTTTGCAGCTGCAGGAGTTGTGAGGTGAGAAACATAAAAAAAAATATAAGCAAATTGAAAAACTCCTTGTTTTTGAATTCTGTTAGAAGGAAAGATTCTGGAATATTTTTAAGACATTTTAAATTCAATTTTTTTTTTTTAATACATCTTATACTGCTGGTTAGCATATGTCTCACATGAACTCGAATTACACTTATTCAATACCAGATAGTTGATACCTATTTTTGAAAATTTGCTCATTAAGAACAAACAGAATATAATGACAAAACAATTTGAACTTTAAGCACATTATACATACGTCACTATTCTTATTCTCCAACAGTCTCGCAGCCACAGCGACCAGGTATAGAGCGGTGCGCACGTTGCTCTCGTACTCGTCCTGCAACACCAGAGCGCGCACCAAACTCTTCGCGTCAATACTCGTGACAAATACCCGTGACGTTACAGTGACGGTGTTAGTATTTATGTACGCACAGCACTATAGCCCAATTCTTAATTTGAATTTGTAAAACGATATTTAAAATTTCGCGCATAAATTTTTGGTCTCTCTCAAGCGGGCGTCAGTTTGGATATAAAAAAAAGTTTGCCTGAAATCTATGCAACCAATTCACATTGAATTTGAAAAGTTGATACTACAAAGTATTTTGATTATACTTATCGATATTTTGGACAGAGGCATTATTATAAATAATCGTGCAAAGCTATGAATTTTCATTTATTTTATTGTGTTAATACTTCTAGATGGTTGCATAGATTCATTTTCTAGTTTCGTCAGTATAAGGCCAGTGCCACCTCTTACATATAACATTATCCATAGTAGAATATTAATATTTTTTTGGAGGCAAAGCAGTACGTTGGTAAGTACTTTTATTGAAAAATATTAAATATACTATCGTAGCGTCAAAACCGATATCGTTTTACTGTTCAAAATTAAAATTTAGACTATAGTAATAGTCAGATAAGCAAAAATATTCTATTGTAATCTACACGAGTGAGATAACAAAAATATATATAACAAGAAATATATAAATATAAGAACAAAAATTTTATATATTATATTTTAGTAATGGCAAACTAACTATCTAACTAATGTTTAATTCAAAACACGATTGCCTATTATTTAATACTAACTATGGCTTATATAACAATGATTTTACTCCAAAATGAAACTGTAACTTTTATTGAATTAATATAAATAAAATTTAATTTACTGATAGTGTGTGCTAAAACACGTTCTATCCTGGCAACATTTACTTTCCAGGACCATTTAAAAAATATCATGCAAAGCAGCGAGCTGAAGCATATAAACCATTGTAGCTAGGAAGCGAATGACAATGCGACCAAATGATGTAAACAATCACGAATATGGAACATACTATTAACGACTCAGGGTCGTGATTCAATTGTGGCTTTTCCAGTCTCTTTAATCCTCTCCTGAGTTCCTCCGCGCACGCTTCTAATACGTAACCAACCTGCAAAACAATGCTCAGTATAAATTTACGATTTGACATTTGACAACCTTGATAATTTATTTCACAGTGTGGTCTAAGCATAGAATGGGCCACCACTTCCTTACGAACAGGCCAATGACTATTTTCAACCGACTTCAAAAAGAAGCAAATTAAGTTAGCAATATGGTTGTTTTTTTAAATATTTTTTACCTCAAAACTCCATCATTTATAAACTAATTTGGATTTTTATTTCTTTTTTTATTTGAAAGAACATAAAGATTAGTCTCACATAAATTTTATCAAAATCGATTCAGCAGTTTAACTTTTAAATCATAATAATTGGTTTTATAACAATTCAAATTGGTTAAATAATTTATATAACTTATAATAATGTACCTGTATTAATGGTAATTCTATGCCAATGTGGATCATCTGTGAGAATACTTGAGCAAATCTGAGCAGGTCCTTTACAACCGATACCTGCAATCATTTAAAAAAAAAAAACATATATTTTTTAACAAAATATAACTCGAAGAGGACTATTGCATGAAATCGCTCGCATAGTTGAACGTCATACAGGTTAGTAAAATTGAATATTTAAAAAAACTTGGGCTGGAAGAAACAAACTAGGCTTCCGTAGTGCCGCGACCAGGATGCGTTACGTATATGTGACCCCTAGACATGTGACAAGCGTATCTATCGATGGAATCGATATCGAAAGCGAATCCGTGAGTTGGAATGAGGCATCCAATGTTGCTAACTCATTGTATCTCACGGACTTGCTCGCGACGTCGATTCCATCAATGAATTCGCTTGCCATTTGTCTAGAGAAAGTGATGCATCAGCGATGCGGTTTTGCCAAAATAGCAGTATGTTATATATCTGGTAATCGCACAGTGGCAACAAGTTACATATCCGGTTATGGATAGTCCATCACTTCCCTAGTCTTATCGCAGGGAGGAAGGGATTGTTAGTAATGGGAATTAGCAACCACATAGTAATAAACTCTATCAGGTCGGTAATAGATCCCCTGAAAACCAGTCATTGATCATGGGGTAACTAACCTGCTTCATCCTCACCTATCATTCCTCACTGGTGCCTCGCCAGTATACCGATAGCACATGCGGAGTTACAATTCCTTTATTATCCACTAAGAAAAGACCTGCCCGTAATCTCCCTTAGAAAACATCGTGCTGAATTCCAGACGTATATTCATCATGCCTTTATATCCTCACTGGTGCCTAGCCAGTGTATACTGTTAGCGCATGCGTAGTTACCATTTCGCTATCATCTATTTAAAAAAAGTCTTGTCGCAATAGCAACGCATTATATATCCGCTATATGGCCGTGTGGTTCCGGCATAGAATAGGCTACCCTCCCTTTTCCGTGAGTGTCGTAAGAGGTGATTAAGGCGAGAGATGGGCAGCAGCGTCCCTCTTTAAACATCTCTAAAATCTAACTGCGGCTGACAATTCGCCTGTCAAGCATGACAACTATTGGCAAACCCTCCTAGGGAAGACTTATGTTACATACAAGCAATTACAAGTTTAGAATAAATCCATTCATATTGATAGGAGTCCGTTTTCTTTGTATTTGAAGTCAATTGAAGTTGAACATATCTACGCTATTATTATTATTGTTACAATATATATATAAAATGGAATGGTAACCCCGCTTGCGCTGGCGGAGCACCAGTGAAGGGTAATCGATGAGAATGAAAACAGGCCAGTTAGCCCATGACGGTGAATTCATAAGGAATTAACCATGATAGTTTACAGGGTAGAACCGCGTGGAGGTCGACCTGGTTGGGTATAGTGCTAGCAATGGGATTCCCAGTCTCCATTATTAACAATCCCTTTCCCCCAATATGTACGAGTATATATTAGCCCCGTGCGTACCTGGTTGTGCTGGCGCAGCAACAGCGCGTGTCGCCAGAGCGCGAGGCAGCGGTCGAAGCGCGCCTCGTCCGCGAAGACGGCGCCGCGGAAGACGACCGGGTGCGGCAGGTCGGGGCTGGCGCGGCCCAGCAGCCGCTCGCGCACCGCCAGCCCCTCCATGTGCAGCGCGTGCGCCTGCCCGTGCAGCCGCTCCACCTCCTGCGCCCGCCGTATACCCATACATACAGTGTCTCCATACAAATGCTTCGATAAAAACGGCTCAACTTTTTATATGAATATTTTTGCCGCTGTCAATTAAAATGAGAAACAGGAAGGAGAAAGTATCTATAGGGTTTGTATACAAAGCATAACATATATAGTATCCATCCATCAAAAAAAAAACTTATAATAATTTCTTTTGTGCACAAAGAGTTCATTATTATTATTATTATAACTCAAAAATAATATTATGTAGATGTAAAACTTATCAATATATTATAATATCTAAATACCATAAAAAATATAAACATGCGCACCTCTAAAGTAGTGCTTTCCCTCCAATTGTCATATGCAGGGATCGGATCCGCAGGCTTCTTCAACATCAGGCCATACCGTGTGTCGTATCGCATCGCCATCGCTCTGTGTAGGTACTGATATGCCATCTGCAACAAAAATATTATGTATACTTAATAAATTAAATAAATAAAGATTTGTTCTGCAATATAAGATATGACGGAAAGGATATATCTTGACGTATCTATATTTATTTAAATACAGATACGTCAAGATAGATTGTGTGCGTAAGTATATAGAATATTAATAAAAAAAGAGTCAGCTAATTGCCAAATTACCTAACTCTTTTGACAAAAAGTTTATTTATTTACTTTTTATTGCACAATAAAACTTTGTACAAATGGCGAGCTTAATGCCATATGGCATTCTCTACCAGCTAACCATTAGGTAAAAACAGAAAGCGTATAAAGGGCAGATGTGGTGAAAAATTTGTGACATAATTATAGTGACACAAGTTGTGTTTACTTATTATATGTGCAATCATACACATATAATAACATTACTTTTAATATATATGGATATACAATTACATATTAAATATATACATACAAAAGTTGACCAGTTGTTGAGGCTCGATGGTTTATCTATACAATCTAAGTGGAAGGTCTATGTTCAATAGTGGACAGATAACGGGTGTTGTGTGGTGTATACGTACCCTGAGGCAGTAGTACTCCTTGTCGTTGGCGAAGGAGGCGCCGAGCAACTCGAAGGCCTCGATGGCCTGCGCGCGCGACACGTCGGGCCGCGCCGCCAGCACCTCCACCACCGACGCACGCGCACGCTCCGCCGCGCACTGCAGCGGCGTCATGCCTGCCGGCATCGTACAAAATTTATTATTATTTATTTATGTATCATTTATTTATTTAGTCATTACTACATATATGTGTACATGGCGGACTTAATGCTGAAAGCATTCTCTCCCAGTTCAGCCATAGGGAAGTGTCAGAATACTCAAATGCGGTACTACTAATTATTGATATACATACATACTAAATTACATATATAAACGAATAAATATATCTATAAATAACAAATATACTTACACATATATGACATATACTATATTATACACGAAATTGAGAATAATATAAAGCATATACTGCTCGGATAAAGTGAAAAAGTGAGCATGAACTTTTTTTTTAATGACTGTTTAGTCGGTAGTCTCTTGATGGTATCAGGAAGGGCATATTAATGTTATATTATTATTTATGTACTTTTATTATTTACGTATGTAGGTATGGTCCCTTTATAGGATAAGTCCGCCATTGTATATTAAATCTTTTGATGTATTCAGTACGAATTATGTACAATAAAGATTTTACAATACAATACAATACCCCTCCCCTCTCAATGGTATTGCTATTGTATAGAATCTGCATTAAAATAATTTGCCATACCGTTCTCATTGGTGAGCATCTTAGCGTGGTGGTCTATGAGGGCGCAGACAACGGCCGCGTGGCCACACTCGGCCGCGAAGTGCAGCGCGGTAGCACCGCACAGTGCACGCTCGTCCACTCGCGCTCCCATGTCTAGCAGAAACTGGACCTACGGCAACATTTTTATTTTTTTTTTATACTTAATCCCCAATAGTTCTTAACTGATTTAATTTATATAAAAATTTTGCCCCAAAAAATACCGATTTGAATCGAGAAAGCCCGTTTATTTTAAAAAACAAACTATTTAATCGATTTTGGACTAATCTGTAAATATATTACTTCAAATAAAAAAATAATTTTTCAAATCGGTTTATAAATGACAGAGTAATGAGATAACAAACATAAAAAATTTTTATTGAAAATCTTCTTTTTGAAGTAATTCGAATAAAAATTGCAGCTTCAATAATCACAAAATTAAAACAATTTAATTTTTAAATAAAAATAACTGGTTTCTCCACGTGCAGTTGGTTTTTAAGAAGTACAATGTATTATCTGCAAAGCAAAGGCTGCTAATTGCAGTTTTTTTTTCTTTACAATTAAAACAACAATGACACACCAGAGGGAGACTTTGTACAAAAGTCGATTGCTTGGGTACCTCTGTCCCATTCGTGTTTCAACCGTGAAGCAGTTGTGTTTGCACGGCTGTGTTTCGATTTGAAGGGTAGGATATGGCATGAATTTACTGGGTACAGAGGAATAACACCTGAGTCCTCAGGAATGGCAACGCATGGGGGTATCATGGGCAAAACAGTATACTCTGTTATGTCCATGGTACTGCTCATGTCTATAGGCGACGGTTACCACTTTCCATCAGGTGGGCCGTCAGCTTGTTTGCCATTCTAACTTGCATAAAAAAAATACATGAAACTTCTTCCACGTTCTATATTCAAATATTACATTACAGAATGTAACTATATTGTATAATTGTATAACAGAGTATAACTGTACACTCTTACACGAGATTACGTGATGTTTTATATACTATATGAGATTAAGGTATGTATTCCTTCTTAAAAGGTCGGCAACACACATGCAATTTCTATAATGTTACTCTATGGACAGCGGTGACCACTTATTGCGTCTATGTCATAAAAAAATAAAATTGTTAGAGTATTCACGACTGCAGGACTGCAGTCGTTCTCTTAGCTGTGCAAAACTTACTTGTTAAATTTTTTAATGATACGTAGAGTGGCAAAAAAAGCTGACGGTCCAACTAATCGAAAATGTCGCCTATAAAGGGTTTTTTTTTTGATGAGTGAAAATGGAATGGTAACCCCGCCTGCGCTAACGGGATACGCTGGCGGAGCACCAGTGAAGGGTGATAGATAAGAATGAAAACAGGCCAGTTAGGTCATCATGATGAATTCATCAGAAATTAACCATGATAGTTTCCAAGAACCGCGAGGAGGTCAACCCGGTTGGGTATATTGCTAGCAATGGGATTCTCAGTCTCTGTCACTAACAATCCCTTTCCCCCCACCTATAAAGGGTTGGGTTTATATATTGTTATTATAGTAATGCGAACTACCAATCTCATTGCTAATAATTTGAAAACCATCATACTGAATTCCAGGTATATTCATCACGATGGGCTAACTGGCCTGTCCTTCCAATCTCACTTATCATCCCCCCAGCATATACCGTTAGTGCAGGCGGGGTTACCATTTCACTATCACGCATTAAAAAAATCCGTTGCCTATAGACAGCCATGAAGACACATATGTACAGCAGCATGAACAACCCAGAACATACTGCGATACCCATGCTGCCGCTCATGGGTTGCCATTCTTGAAAACCATAGTGTTCTGCCTGTGTAACCTATCATTTCAATAAACAGCACACCTGCAATGCCGTTGGTGTTGTGGGTGACTATGAGCGGTGGTAGTCACTTACCATCAGGTGAGTCGCATGCTCGTTTTCCCCCTTTGATGTAAAAAAAACATAGGACTCACCACATCTAAATGTCCTTTGTATGCTGCAATCATCAAACACGTGTTGTTGTATTTGTTCGCTTTGTGTATGTCAGCGCCATGCCTGACCAGGTACTGGACGATATCGAGGCGGCCGTCGAAGCAGGCGGCGCGGAGGGGCGTACTCAGCGTTTTGGTGGCGTGGTTCACGTTCGCGCCCGCGCGCACCAGCCGCTTCACTATGTTCAGGTGACCTGCGCCCGCAGCGCACCATAGTGCTGTTGCACCTGGAATTAAATATTTATATATGTATAAACATTATAATAGAAGGTAAGATAGAAGGAAGGAGGGGAATGGGAATAGCGAATACTGAAATGACAAATAGAGAAAAAAAGAGAAGAAAAATATATTGAGCCAACACCAAATTATATGGGACAAGAAATGTTTGCCATGAAAATTCAAAAATTACCATTATTATGTTATGAGAGCGCTTTTTAAATAATCAATCAGATACATTGAAAATGTTCAATTGTTTTCGAAAATTAAAAAAAAAAACCTTCATTATAACGGCTTAAAGTTTACTCATTTCACAGGTATTATCATAATGTTTTATAGCATTCCCTTGTATTGTAAAATTTTTATTCAACATAATTTACATTGGACACATCAAAAGATTTAATATATCATGGCGGACTTATTCCATAGAGATATTACAGTTAACTTTTGAGAAGTTGATAGGAAACTACAGAATGGTCCAAGGTAAAAGCTATACAGCTAAAAATAAAATTCAATAATATCTAGTTAAAATTAAATATATAATACAATAAAAATTACTTGATACACCTACATATATAAATAATAATAATACATAAATATTAAAAAAAAATAAATAATAAATAAATTAAAAAAGAATCTGTTTTCATTGATTTAATTATATCTACTTACATTTCATACATACATGCAATTCGCAATCATAAGAGATATAGTCTAATACTAATAAACAAATATTCAAGAACACGTTATATGGATATTAGATTTTGAGTGAAACTGGCACATTTACAAATTTCAAACACTCCACGAGCTTCCCTCGCACAGTCACTGAACTAAACAAACGCATTATTAGATTAGGGATAAAATTAATTTTCTGAATAATACCCACATGCCTATCCTACGCTAGTAATAAGTGTTTCTACGTAACACAATAATGAGGTGACAAATTGTAACAGTACAAACGATGTGTCAGCGTTTTAATATTAACATTTTGCTCGTGAATATTATAAACGTGACAGTTTGGATGTTTCTTACTCAATCCCACTTACAAACAGATTAACCATATGTTAGATTAACATGGCGTGAATTTACTGGGTACAGAGAAATAACACCTGAGTTCTCCGGAATGACAACGCATGGGGGTATCATGGGCGAAACAGTATACTCTGTTATGTCCATGGTACTGCTCATGTCCATGTCCATAGGCGACGGTTACCACTTTCCATCAGGTGGGCCGTCAGTTTGTTTACCATTATAAGTAGAAAAAAAAACACAGTGTATTTTATAAACTACTTCAAAAGAGAAAAGATGCGAGAATTAATAATGTGAAAGTGTTAACTACGCCTAATCGGCTGATTGCATTCGAATAAAAATTAAACACAGATATCCTGAGATTGCTCCATAAAGTACTTCCTACGAGCAAAGTCAAGGAACCAATCAAGCTAGTTAAGGGATAAAGACTTCCAAACTCACCTCTATGACTATGAATAACCATTTCGTCAAGTTCATCGACTCATTCACACGCTAGTCGATTCTCAATAACGTATATAATTATACGTGATTAATAATTGGATTCATACGATTCCTGAGTATTATAAAGCGACAGAAATGATTCACAGTTGCAAATAATCGATGGAAGGTAAACACGTTGAATGCATCACGAAAATGTCGCCAGCGCTGCATCTAGCCAACGAATGCACGCACCGCTGGGAGAATTTATAACCACTCCGATTAATTACACTAAATCATAAAATGTACGGAACAAAGAGAGATGTATGGCAATACGCCAACTCAAGTACAACCGGTCAACTTCGTTTCCTTTGTATGTAAACGGTGGCTAAATATACCTGCGAAAGCGCGCGACGACACAAAAAAAATGTAAGTCAACGTTCTTTCTTCCCCAAAAAAAAAAGTGGAACAAAATCGTCTTGAGCATTTCGTTTGTTTGTTCAACGCGGTTTATATATCGACTATTATTGCTATTATTCGTTGGACTTGACAATGAAAATTATCTAAACGTTTCTATCTAGATTACAGTAATAAAGTGGAACAGCTGACCGAAAATAGATTCTCGGTATAAAAATAAACGAAAGGAAAACACCTACCAATGCATCTGATAAAAACCAATCTATCCATGAATAATGTGCGAATTCTAATGTTAGTAGGTATGTCGGTCTGTCCATTTGTATCATACTGTATTAATTTAAATATTAAATAATGTCGGTAGGGGCCTACCTACGGACGTATATCAACCAAATAGGCGACGTGCTGAAGAATGGCCAAGTTAAAAGTACCCGTAACCGGCGAGCTTGTATGAAAAGATTGATGAATGTGGTAAAAGTGAAAGAGGTTTGTTTGTATCGAAGCATTTGACGTTCCATTGTTTCTGCCTACCCTATTGGGAGACAGGCGTGACAGATATGTATGTATGAATGTATGTGAATAACTGCCAGACAGTTGAAGCTTATGAATGGAGCGACATATGAACATCATCATCGTCATCGTCATGAACATTGGCCAAATAAAACATATTATAATAAAATTACTATCTCTCCGCTATTTTCTAAACTGGTATCCCTAAATACATAAGGGATACCCTTTATAACCATGTAAATTTTTTTAAAACAAAAATAGATATATCTATTGTTTTCGATTGTTTAAGCCATAATTTAACTCCACAAAAAAGCAGACTTCAATTGTAATAAATCCAGTTAATTTGATTTATAAACTAAACTAAGGAACCGATTTGAATAAAATTTACATGAGACCAAACCGAAAGTATATCCTTTCAGATAAAAAACAAAATAAAACAGTTTATAATATGAGGAGTTATGAGATAAAAACTTAAAATGGCGTGAATTTACTGGGTACAGAGGAATAACACCTGAGTCCTCAGGAATGGCAACGCATGGGGGGGGGGGGGGTATCATGGGCGAAACAGTATACTCTGTTATGTCCATGGTACTGCTCATGTCTATAGGCGCCGGTTACCACTTTCCATTAGGTGGGCCGTCAGCTTGTTTGCCATTCTAAGTTGTATAAACAAATAAAAAAAAAATTCACTGTCATTTTTAATATTAATTAGTAAGGAAAGTAGGATCGTAAAAAACACGCAAAGTCACGCGTACCATATAGTATTTATACATTCTTTGTTTGCCGATTCTTAGATCTAAATCGAATCAGCCAATGACCTTATGAACGTACGTTACAATAATAACTTTGTTAAAAAAAAAACAACTTAGCTTCTATAATCTACCTATATTACTGTGTGGTCCCGGTAGAGAATGGATTATACCTTCCTTTCCCGAGGGTGTCGTAAGAGGCGACTAAGAGAACTTAATGGTCGAAAGATAGACAGCAGGTGTCCCTTCTTAAACAAAGCGTAACCAAAGCATAACTGCGGTTGCGAATCCGCTTGCCAAGTGTGGCAAATACTTGCAAAATCCTCGAGGCTTATGTTCATAATGATGAGTCTATTTACATGATATACTAGTGATCAGGCCCGACTTCACATGGGTAGATAGAATTTTCGAAAATAATATATAGCCTATATGTGTATATTGTAGCTTTCTATAGGTGAAAAAATATTCTACTCTGTTGAGTAATTTTTTAATTTGTCCATTATAAGCAAACAAAAATAAAATCTATCCTCTTTACAATATTATTGGTATAGACAAGTCTCTGTCAGTGACTTTGTTCATTTCAAACAACTTCAACCAGAGGGAGACTGTACAAAAGTCGATTGCTTGGGTACCTCTGTCCCATTCGTGTTTCAACCGTGAAGCAGTTGTGTTTGCATGGCTGTGTTTCGGTTTGAAGGGTGGGATATGGTGTGAATTTACAGGATACAGAGGAATAACACCTAAGTCCTCAAGAATGGCAACACATGGGGTGTATCATGGGCGAAACAGTATACTCTGTTATGTCCATGGTACTGCTCATGTCTATAGGCGACGGTTACCATTTTCCATCAGGTGGACTGTCAGCTTGTTTGCCATTCTAAGTTGTATAAAAAAAAATTCAATTACCATTTCAACAAGCTGTTATTTTGGAATCAGCTAGTGGAACTATTTCTAAAAGTGGAACAGCTGCAGCAGGTTCCTTTTTTTACTAGTTTTAGACCAGTTTGCATAGGCAAAAAGGTTGTCTATAAAACCTAAGGATGAAATATATCTGCATATTGACCCAATAAAATAAATAAAAATAAAATAAAAATATGGATATATTAAATATTGATTATTCAATATACATAAATAATACTGAAATGAAGAATTCAATTAAAATTAATATTGACTGTGTGATGTGTGATTAAGTGTAGGTTTTTCAGCATAGAATGTCTAGAAAAAAACTCAGTATATAGATATCAGGGCGGTATTGATATTAGCCAGGTCATTGTTAGGTAACAAAACTACTAACCTTCTATAACATATTCATCAAATTTCACTGTTCCTTCTGTTTCTATTCTGACTGGAGGTCGGAATTTGTCTAAGAGTATCCTAACACATCCTTCCCTGCCGTGTCGCGCCGCAGCTATAAGAGGTGTACACTTCACCCCATCACAGCATACGTCCTGGAATTTACCATTGTACAGATTAATATTGAGAAAAGGTAAAATAAAATTTTATTAATAGGAATCTATATGTGATAGATAAAAATAAAAATCATAGTCTTGTATTTATTGTTATTTTTATTTTAATTAATGTATCAACTGTCACTTCAAATTTTTAAGAACTAAATACCTTTTTGTTTATAATTTGTATTTAATTATGACTGGAGCTCCATAAGAAGTTTGTATTATTTGCATTTCTAAGTTTAACTTAATCAAGTAATTTTTCATTGTATTAGTATTGTATTATCTGTTATCATTAAAATGACAAAAAAAAATCTTAATTAAATGAAATAATCTTAACATTTTTATACAATTTTCAATGTTTAATCCAATAAGTATGCATTGCCAAAACACTTCTACATTCAAGGAAGTAATATAAAGACAAAGAATATGGCAATTATCCATTATATTCTAAATATGGTATGTGACTCAATTTTATATAAACAACTGAAGGAAAACAACAAATTTACAGGGTACAGAGAAATAACACCTGAGTCCTCAGGAATGGTAACGCATGGGGATATCATGGGCGAAACAGTATACTACACTACTACAAAAACAGTATAAAAGGAACAAATTAAAATTGAACAACACTGTGCAAATAATTAGAGGAGGAAATAATTAGCATAGAAGTCTCCCTATTGAATGCACAAATTAATCTATGAGATAGAATGAGATGGCAAGATCCAATATCTTGTACTTTCCCATATGAGTAATGTTAGTCACAATGTTATCAATAGATTTATTAGCCATTTGTCTATGGGGACTGTAAAACCCTAGGTAATCCTACTGTGGATAAATATGAGAAAATAAAATTATATCCAATAGTGGGATCTATTTTATTTTCTAATGTACATTTGATTATTTTTTTAAACAGTTTATACATATATTATATAGAGGTAAAATTTTGTACAAAAGTTGTCTGCTTGGGTACCTCTGCACCATTTATGTTTCTGCTGTGAAGCAGGCATGTTTGCATGGTTGTGTTTTGGTTTATCCATTAGGATGGGATAATGCAAAGAAATTACAAGGTACAGAAGCATAACACGTTAATTCTTGTGAATGACAATATATTAAAAGTATCATGGGTGCCACATTTCTGTCATGTCTGTGGTACTTTTCATATCTATAGGTGACAGTTACCACTTTCCATGAGGTGGGCAGCCAACTGCTTGCCATTCTAAATTGCATAAAAAAAATAACTGACCTCTTTTTACCCTCACCTATCATCACTCACTGGGACCCCACCAGTTCATTACCACAGGAGAATTTACATTCCTTTTCACTCTCTACTGCTATAAATTAAATTAAACTAATATAACAGAAACATCAAAATATTCTGAGAATAAACTCACTTCTGAGATAAAATCTTATCTTATTTTCAATCCAATCTTCACTATATGAAGATTTGTTTCAAAAACATAAATAACATGTCAAGTTCAACGACATGTCATTTACCTGTACATGTACAGCACTGAGACATAAATAAATTTGTTGTGAAATTAATGATTTTTCTTTCATAATAATGTACATATTTTGTTAATTATTTGAAAAGCAACAGTTATCAATTACAATAGATATCCTAAATTTGTCAATACAGCATGATTAAGTGCATTTTAATTATACTTAATAATGAGAATTTTCAGAAGCAAATAACTATATTAGTTTATTTTTAAATATAAATTTATTAATTGAAAGATTGATTAAATTTAAAAGTTGCAGTACTACTGGTTCAAACAAGCTGAAATAAACCAAACATTGTTGTAATAACAAAAAGCCACTATTTATTATTATTGTGTATTCTAACAACTTTCTGAGATATGTGGTATGAAAAAGTGACATTATTTATTAAAATTAGAATATTTGAAAACCAGGATGACATTGCAAGAATTTCTTAAGTATAAGCAAAGTTACAATCATAAAAATATTTACACTAACCCCAAATAATTTTAAATGTAGATATATATTGAACTATTAAAATAGAATGAGATAAAGTAAATGGGATTGTAGACTGATGGAGTAAATCTGTAATCGGCCTTGACTGATACCAAGGTTATGCATCAGTAAAAACAACGTGATACGACGCAAATCTAGATTTGACGACGCAAGAAAAATAATTCATAACACACGCGTTAAAGCGCACAAAAGGTAACGCGGTCTGTTAAAAATAGATTATTATCATTTGGTTTTAATATGACACTAACAAAACACTTAAGATACGGGCAATGAAAGAAAGTTACGTTTTACTCACATTGTTCACTAGTTCATCAATTTCGTCATATTTTTTTTCAAATAACAACGCATACAGGGTCAAAGACATTCCATCCCTCGCTGCGAAAAACACCCTTTCTCTCAAGGCGCTCAAGAGATCATACATCATTTTCTTTTTCTCCATTATCTAACAGTTTGAGATGATTTATCACAATTAGAATGATCACTAAAATGCTACACTTTCTTATTTTGTCGAATTTGTAATCAAATTTAGAATCACTTGGAATATTAATTCATTTCACGAGAAATAATGGAAACTAAAAAATTATCTGAGCACTTCTATAAGATTAACTATACTGACTTGTAAATTGAAGAAAACAAAGTGACAGCTGACTGGGTGTCAATGACATACAGGTCTTCGAAATGACACTGTTAGAATATCTTACACACGTCGATAGATTATGTTATTATTCTAAATCTATGAGCAAAGATCATAACCGTATAACGAGGATCTTAATCACACAATACACATTTATGTTGATATTATTAGCAACATAGTGTATGAAAAAAATTACTGAAAAAGATTATGAGTTTTTTTTTAGGAGAATAATCGGGTATGTTGAAATTATTAGAAGTTTTCTATTTTTTACGTCTTTACGCAATTGCCAATCTACCAATTTTTTAGAGCAATAAATAATCTAAGACTACTTAAATTTTTTCACTTTCAGTGTAACATTTTCAAAATTTTGTGATTTTGAAAATATAAATTAACACTTTAGACATATAATAATGAATTTTATTATTACATCCGTGATTAACACAAAAAAAGAATATTGTTGTTATGGGGTTCTAGTTAATTTCTAAGTTGTATTTGTATTTGAAGTTGCTAACCAAATTTATGTGTAATACACATTTTTTATTTTGGCACATCACATTAATTTAGCCGTTTACGGTATTATTAAAAGTTGTTATGTTAAATAAGAATAAGCACCATCCGCGATACAAAACGCAATTTTTGGCCCTTGCCACGTTTTGTCCAAGTGGAATTTGTCGACCAATCAGAAACGTCTCTATTTCTGACTTTTTTGTTTGTGCCATTTGATTTTGACGTGTAACCTGTCGCTTTCCCTTTATTTACAAAAGATTGAATTGAACTATTTAAAAATCCTTGCATTATGTCTAGCGGTCAATGGGAAGTTGTTGGAAAAAGCAAAAAGTCGCAGAATGGGAAAGTCAAAAATAAGGAGGAAGACAAAAAGTCTTTCAAAAATGGTCCTAAACTTGAAGACATCGGTAAGTGGTGTTCAGTTTTTATTTTTTATTGTGTACTGTATCAATTTATTAATTCTCTTTAGTAAGTATTTCTTATCGCTATTTTATTTTTAACAAAATACTATTTCATTTATTAAAAATAGTTACATGTTATTATTGAATAGGTATTAAATTTTGATTCTCAAATGTGTAAATCTAGGCAAATATGTCAGGATACTGACACATTTGATGCTAAATATTTTACAGGATACAGGTTCACAGAAAGTTTTATTTATAGGCTCATTTTGTGCTTAATTTATAATTTTACTATTCCAAGATATATTTAAATGGACATAGATTTAGCATCTGTTGCATTATAAAGAATATTTTTATATTAAACTGTATACGATTTTTAAAACTGTTGAGGAGTGAGTATCAGTAAGAGTAGGGAATTTGCTTATATTTTCTTGCAGAATACAAGGACTAAATTCAGGTTTGTTAACACACAAAATGCAATGAGTGTGATTGAGGTAGAGCAGCTGTAGTCAAGCTATAATTTAATTGCTTTACTTTTAAATACCTAAATAAATATACATTTTTTAAAGTTAGTTTTATTATAAAAATAATGTTATTAATGTCTATATGGCATACTATTATTAATGACAATATAATATTATTATTATTAAAATGGTTTTTGTTTTTATTCTGAAAATGAGTATTTTTACTTCACTCGGTCAGTAATGATAATAAAGGTCATGCTGTTGATATAGGTGATTAAAATTTTTTGAAATTATATTTACTCTATGATCCAAAGATACTGTTACTTCCTCATTATTAAATTTTAATTTTAAACTGAAATTACTTTCAGTTCCACATTCACAAATAAAATCTTTTTATGCTGGAATGGAAATTGATGATGAGAAGAAGCCACAAAAAGAGAAAAAGAAGGATGGAGAAAAAAAATCAAAGAAATCTCAGGATAAAAAGCCAAGTGAACCACCAAAGCCAAAACCACCCAAAACCCTGGAGGGAGCTTTTGAAGCTGTATGTATAATTATTTCACTTATTTACTATTTTTTATCTATGAGTTTTGTTTGCATAATTGACATATTCATAAACCAAGCTAAAAATGTCTTATGTCCTACTTTATTTTAAAAACTATGTACATCTTAAATTTCATTATAATTATTTAAACTGTTAAGATGCTGAGAGACAATTAACAGATTCACTTTCACATTCTTTATAATAGTAAGTGTTTATTTAATGTACAAGTATATAAATAAGCATATATATTAAATCCCTGTTGTCCAGGTATATATAAATGTTTAAAAGGAGAACATGAGTTTAGAAACAGAGCAAACTGGACTACTTATTGAATTTTCTACTTGTCAGCCATAGGACTAACAGAGAATGTGTGATATATTTACAATTAAAATTGTAAAATAAGTGTAAATAAAATGTCTGTAGGCTTGTTAGCTACTTTTGTATATTAATTAAAAAAATCATAATGAATTATGTTTAGTTATAAAGAATGTAATAAAAAAGATATTAAACTATGTATGTATAGCACACAATTACAGTTTCTTTAATAAAATTTAAAATTGGTCAGCAACAATTTCACTACATAAATGGAATAAGCATAAACTTGGCATGATGTAATGTATTTCAAATGAGTCATAACTGTGTCGAAACATTTTAAGAATAATTTGCTGACAACATGTAACTATAAATATATAATATTATTTAAAACACTTTCTATAATTTTTTATACATGTACATATAGATGTAAACTTTAAAATGTATGTGAATAGATATATCTGAACATCTCATATCTTCCCTAATTGAATTTAATTGAGAAAAAAATGCAATATTCTTATATTTATTGTTACTATTAAGCATCTTTATTCTGTATATCTTTATTTTGTTACTAATATTACTAGTATTATCTATGAAAATTCTACAAAAGTGAAAGTTTTTTTTAAATATATTCTTTACTGTGAACATTAAATAAAGGCAAAGTAGGCTTTGAATGTTGAGTACAGGATCAATAAATGATATGAAATATGATATTAATAATAATAATAATAAAAGTCCAACCCCGCGTCCGAGCTCACCATCTAGCTCACGTGGAAGGCGGTCACGCGTATAAATAAAACCTACGCGGCTAAAGGGGCAATGGCAAAAATAAAGATGGCGAATAATTATAACGGAGACAGTATAGGGTCGCTGCCCGGGGGTCGCCGGGGCGCGTCTACAACTGGCGGTAGGCGCGGCAGAATGCGAGCCAGCCGACCGGCCCCACCACCTGGCCGGTCCGACCCCTCGCCATCGACATCAGCTGGCTTGGCGCCGGCAGGGCCGTCACAGGCCCAGCAATCGGTGCCCGCCACTGGTGGTACACGTCGCATGAGGTGGACAAGAGCCATGAATGAGGACCTCATGCGTGCGTTCTTCAGGGCTACAGGGACAGAAACAGGCAGAACAGGATACCGGGCAGTAATGCACCGCGAGTTTCTGCGTCTTTTACCGGATCTAACCGTCTCGGAACAGAACCTAGCCGACAGAGTTCGGTACATACAGCGCTCTGGTATGTTTAGCGCGACCGAACTCGAACGATTGCGAAGTGAAGTTGTTCCAGAAGCAAACTCCGCGACCGTAGAGCAACCAATCTCAGACGTGCTACCTAGCGTAGAGGTGGTTGCCGAAACGCTTTCAGAAGCGGATGCGGACGGAACAACTTCCCAGGATATAGAGCATATGAGGAGCATACTAGAGGAGGCGATTCTAGAGATCCGAAGAACTCCCCTCGAAGAGAGACCGAAGCTTCCCCGGATATATCCAAATGTGGCGACGCGGGATGCCATTGAGGCCACAAATGGACTGCTGCCTCAGTACCTTGAGGGCAGCGGTGACCTGGGAGAGACGAGTTCAATCCTGTTTGGCGCTGCGTTGGCAGTATGCCGATATACCGGCGCAAAAATGCCCCGGGCTGGACGTAATATCCAAAGGGATAATATGAAACCAGCCTGGAAAAGAAGGATTGAACGACGGATCGCCCAGGCCAGAGTCCTCATTGGTAGACTGCTCTGCTTCAGGGAGGGCAACACACGCCCGAGAATTATGCGCTCCGTAAAAGAGGCCTTTGCTGGGACAGGGGTACGTCTGTTCCAGCCGGACTTCGGGCACAAACTTACGGAGCGCATAGATGAACTGAAGCAGAAGATCGCTGCATGGGGGAAGCGACTCCGACGGTACTCTGAGAGGGTTGAGAGGTATCAACAGAATCGCCTCTTTATGAGTGATCAACGGAAGTTCTATAGGAACTTGGAGCGCCCAAAACTACAGCCCACAGGACAAAGACCCGAAACAGCCAATTTCGTCGCCTTCTGGAGACAGCTGTGGTCTGAACCTGTGGAACATGAGGAGGGCGCATGGATGCACGATGTTGAGGAAGCATGTGCTCGAATAACGCCGATGAACGCCATTGCCATTACGGAGGAAGACGTGGTTGCCGCGATCCGTCGGGCTCCGAACTGGAAAAGTCCGGGGATCGACGGATTGCAGCACTACTGGTTAAAGGCGTTCTCGGCCAGCCATGCGACCTTAGCCGTGCAATTCCAGAGTGCCCTCGAAAACAGGACGCTCCCGAACTTCCTTACAACCGGGATCACTCATTTAGCTCCTAAGACGGACGATACCGCGGATCCATCTAAATATCGCCCCATCACTTGTCTTACGACAATATATAAGACGTTAACATCCGTTCTGAGCGCTAAGATCTCTCGTCATGTGTACGAGAATAAGATCCTATCTGGCGCTCAGAACGGATGCAGGGGCGGTAGCCGCGGATCGAAGGAGCTGCTCCTCATTGATGCTGTCGCTGGCCACGTGGTCAAGCGGAACCGTCGGAATTTCTCCGCCGCCTGGATAGATTATAAAAAGGCGTTCGATTCCGTGCCCCATTCATGGCTCCGGAGGATACTCGAGCTGTACAAGATCGACGGTACAGTTCGAGTGTTCTTGGAGGCATGCATGGGGCAGTGGACGACGATCCTGACTATCCAGGGCGAGCGATTGACGGATACCGCTGACCGGATAGAGATAAAGAGGGGAATATTCCAGGGCGATTGTTTGAGTCCACTTTGGTTTTGCCTGTCCCTGAATCCACTCAGTACTTTACTGGAGAATTCGGGGACTGGATTTCAGTATCGGAGAGGAGGTACACGAGTGTCTCACCTTCTGTACATGGATGACTTGAAACTGCTAGCTCCGAGCATCGAACGCCTGACGGAGCTGCTAAATATCGTAAACGATTATAGCAGCTCTATTAGGATGGCGCTCGGAATAGACAAGTGCGCGGTCCTCCATGTGCAGAGGGGACGGGTCACTCAAACTGAAGGGATCGCCACAGATCCCTCTAATATTAAAACCCTCTCCGAGGCTGAAACATACCGGTATCTGGGCATGTCACAAAACATCGGTGTGAAGGAGACGGATATGAAACAGTCAGTCCGCGAGGAATTTTTTGCGCGCCTTACAAGAGTACTGAAAAGTTCTTTGTCGGGCGCCAATAAAATCCGAGCTTATAACGGCTGGGTCATACCCGTACTCCTTTACACTTTTGGCGTGCTCAGATGGTCTCAAACCGAACTCGAAGCCCTGGATCGGAAAGTCCGCACAACTATGACCCTCCATAGAATGCATCACCCGAAATCGTCAGTCATGAGGCTGTATATCCCGCGGAAAGCTGGTGGTCGAGGCTTGTTAAGCGTTAAGACCATGCACAACCGCGAGATTGACAGCCTCAGGACATATTTTCTGGAGAAAAGAGACGAGGGTTTGCATAGAGAGGTCATAGAATGTGACAAAGGATTCACCCCTCTTTCTCTGGCTAAAGAGGACTGGCGAAAACCCGAAGTCTTGGGTACCTCTCAGCGGGAGGCCGTATGGAAAGAGAAGGAGTTGCACGGAAGGTTCTTCAAAGCCCTTCACGGGCCGTACGTAAACACGAAGACCTCCGTGCACTGGCTACAGTTCGGTGATCTCTTCGGAGAGACCGAGGGTTTTGTCTGTGCAATGCAGGATCAGGTGGTTAAGACGAACAATTACCGAAAGCACATTCTGAAGGATGGCACTGAGGACATCTGTCGAGCATGTCGCCATCCCGGAGAGTCACTCAGACATGTGCTTTCGGGTTGTTCAGCTCTTGCCAACACAGAGTACTTGCACAGGCACAACCAGGTAGCCAAAATACTCCATCAAGAGCTAGCTCTGAAGTACGGCCTCGCGAATGAGAGGTTGCCGTACTATAAGTACGAGCCACAGCCGGTCCTCGAAAGCGACAGCGTCAGGCTCTACTGGGACCGATCCATCATCACGGACAGGACTGTTCTTGCGAACAAACCTGATATCGTGGTGATGGACCGGGCACTTTCGAGGGTGTTTTTGGTGGATGTCACCATACCGCATGACGAGAACCTCGTGAAAGCCGAAACCGAGAAGAAGAGAAAATATCTCGACCTGGCTCACGAGGTGACCGAAATGTGGGGGGTGACATCTACCGAAATCATCCCAATCGTTATGTCGGTGAACGGTCTTATCCCAACCAGTCTGGAACAACATCTCAGACGGTTGGGATTCCGAGGCGGCTCACTCCCGGGAAAGATGCAGAAAGCGGTGCTCTTAGATTCTGCCCGCATTGTACGCCGGTTTCTCTCCCTGGGGCCCTGAACCCCGGCCGACTGTGCTTCTGCCGGGGGTTAGTTGCCATCTCCTCTCCTTAAGAGGGGAGATGAGAATTTTGGTAAAATTTAAAAATAATAATAATAAAGTTCTTTGTCGGGCGCCAATAAAATCCGAGCTTATAACGGCTGGGTCATACCCGTACTCCTTTACACTTTTGGCGTGCTCAGATGGTCTCAAACCGAACTCGAAGCCCTGGATCGGAAAGTCCGCACAACTATGACCCTCCATAGAATGCATCACCCGAAATCGTCAGTCATGAGGCTGTATATCCCGCGGAAAGCTGGTGGTCGAGGCTTGTTAAGCGTTAAGACCATGCACAACCGCGAGATTGACAGCCTCAGGACATATTTTCTGGAGAAAAGAGACGAGGGTTTGCATAGAGAGGTCATAGAATGTGACAAAGGATTCACCCCTCTTTCTCTGGCTAAAGAGGACTGGCGAAAACCCGAAGTCTTGGGTACCTCTCAGCGGGAGGCCGTATGGAAAGAGAAGGAGTTGCACGGAAGGTTCTTCAAAGCCCTTCACGGGCCGTACGTAAACACGAAGACCTCCGTGCACTGGCTACAGTTCGGTGATCTCTTCGGAGAGACCGAGGGTTTTGTCTGTGCAATACAGGATTAGGTGGTTAAGACGAACAATTACCGAAAGCACATTCTGAAGGATGGCACTGAGGACATCTGTCGAGCATGTCGCCATCCCGGAGAGTCACTCAGACATGTGCTTTCGGGTTGTTCAGCTCTTGCCAACACAGAGTACTTGCACAGGCACAAACAGGTAGCCAAAATACTCCATCAAGAGCTAGCTCTGAAGTACGGCCTCGCGAATGAGAGGTTGCCGTACTATAAGTACGAGCCACAGCCGGTCCTCGAAAGCGACAGCGTCAGGCTCTACTGGGACCGATCCATCATCACGGACAGGACTGTTCTTGCGAACAAACCTGATATCGTGGTGATGGACCGGGCACTTTCGAGGGTGTTTTTGGTGGATGTCACCATACCGCATGACGAGAACCTCGTGAAAGCCGAAACCGAGAAGAAGAGAAAATATCTCGACCTGGCTCACGAGGTGACCGAAATGTGGGGGTGACATCTACCGAAATCATCCCAATCGTTATGTCGGTGAACGGTCTTATCCCAACCAGTCTGGAACAACATCTCAGACGGTTGGGATTCCGAGGCGGCTCACTCCCGGGAAAGATGCAGAAAGCGGTGCTCTTAGATTCTGCCCGCATTGTACGCCGGTTTCTCTCCCTGGGGCCCTGAACCCCGGCCGACTGTGCTTCTGCCGGGGGTTAGTTGCCATCTCCTCTCCTTAAGAGGGGAGATGAGAATTTTGGTAAAATTTAAAAATAATAATAATAATTAACAAACTTAAAATTGACTTTGTAATTGTGATAGAAGATTTATTATAGCTGTGAACTTATTTGCAAAGGAATTTGCACACACAGCTATTTTTAGTATATTAATAACAAATATTTTTATGCATTTACATGATTTTACATGTGGGTTATAACAAGATTTTTATATCTCTGAGAATTCATTATCTGAGAGTCATTTATGTTTAACATCCATTTGTTTATCATTATTGGTATTTATGATATTGGTTTGTTTACTAATATCACAATCATAAAGCAGTAGAAAAGATTTGTGTTTATTTATTTCATATATTTGTTTTGCATATATTATTATTCTAATAAATTTGATATTATATCAAGATGTAGCAAAAAGCTTTATAATTAACAATAAAAAATTCAGAGATGTGAAAGTGAATAACTAATTCAACAAGTGTTGTACCTATGTTCATTAGCTGTGTTCATTTCATTATTTAGTTCATTAGCATGTAATAATAATTACATTTCATGAAAATATACACTTCCTCCCATGTTGAATTTAAATATGTTCAGTAAAATGACTCTGACAGTATTCTATCAGATTTTAGTGTTGAACATATTTATGTTTTAATTTTTTTTAATTCTTTATTGATAACATTACAAAAAAAGGTTTGGTACATAAGGCGGATATAATGCTATATAGCATTAAATAATTTATAAGTAGTATATCTTTGGGAAACAGTAATGTAATTTTTTTTTATTGGATGAAAATGGAGTGCATACCCCACCTGTGCTAATGGGATAGGCTGGCAGGGCACCAGTAAAGGGTGATAGATGAGGATGAAAACAGGCCAATTAGCCCATCATGATGAATTCATCAGTAATTAATTATGATAGTTTCCAGGGGGAACCGGGAGGAGGTCGATCTGGTTGGATATATTGTTAACAATGAGATTCTTAGTCTCCATTATTAACAATCCCTTTTCTCCCCCCACAGAAATGTAATTATGCAATGAAAAATATTGAAGATATTTGTGGGTAAATTGTTTATGTTTTTCTATTATTGCAGATCGACCCCATAGAGCTGGCTAACATAATTGCAACAAATAAGGTCCGATTTTCCAACGCACCGCTGGTTTGGTTGAAAGAAGTCGCCAATTTTTTAAATTCAAAGACACAGATTGATGTTGAAGACCCCACTTTTTCAAATTATCCCCCCACATACCCACTGTCGGCGTTACCTTCGGAGATTAAGAGCAGTCTCGAAGGTGTACTGCAGGACGCTGGAAAGATCAATGCTCAATTATTTTTTGATGTCACCCTCACAGCTTTGGCTAATGATATGAGCAGAGGTATGTTTATTGTATTTTTTTTTCATTAAACAATATTCAGTGGATGAATTTTATTTATTTATTACATAGTTATAACATGCTTATACATAACACAGACATGACATATAGTTTTACCGTGTACTTAAAGAAGAATTAGTAAGTATATTGTAAGTATCCATAATACTTTCTAATATACAGTTTGCACCAAGTACAGAAAAAATGTATGAAATACAATATATATTCCCAAACAAACTACTTTTGTCTCCCTCATGTATATATAATGAAAATTAGTTTAAATAGTACATTTATATGCCTCTTTTACCTCATTATACATTAAAGTAAAACATTCTAAAATAAAATTACTTTATAAAATGGCAAAATACATATTTTGTATTATTTTCCTCTCCTACATACAAAACCAAACACTCATGTATGTTTTTTTATAATTAATCATAGAATCTTTATGATTTAAAAAAGCTATTATCTGATTAATTCATATTATCATCCATAATATCTCATTCATAGGACAGTCAGTCAATGGGCACAGGATTCTTCTGCAAATACTGGCCAATGACTATCCAGAGTTCTGTGTCGCATCAATTCAGAAAAGTGCCAGCCTTCGTAACTCTTACCAGAATAGACCACCCATAGGACTTTCGTTACTGTGGGCGTTTGGTCAAGGAGGACTAAATAATTTTGCAGTAGGTTTAAAAGGTAAGATAGTATTTTCTGTACTAATAACTATAGTACTATATTTTATGAAAATAAAGTTTTATTATTATTATTTGTCTGTTTCAATAGAATTTAATGAAAATGTAAACAAATTAATAAATGACCTGATGATAGACAGTCTGCTAATGTCCAACAATAGTATAAATCAGAAATTGATTAATTCATTGTTTTGATTTGTTACGGGCCACATACAATGTTACAGTTTTTTTTTGTCAAAATTTAACTTTCATACTTTTTAATTATTTATTTATTTATACTTATGCATACATTAAAATTATATATATATATATATATATATATATATATATATATATATATATATATATATATATATATATATATATATATATATAAGCAAGGCAACTTATTGCCTGATGGCATTTTTTACCAGTTAACCATTACGCTAAATAGAGATAGAGTAAATAGCGGTGCATAGATTAAAAAAAAATTGTAAATTAAATAATATTTTTTTTTTTTATAAAATTGGCCATTGCGCTGGCTGATAGTGAAAGAATTTTAATAGTTCTAAAAAAATAAAGAAATTCCCTTTACACAAATCATAATAAATTTCATATAATTTATTTACTTGAATAAGCACCCTATATAGAGGGCACAGATAGGGTTATCATTCCATTTTTAATGCTTAAAAAAATATAAAAATTCTTTTTTTTTTTTTCTTACAGCCTGGCAGGAACTCTTCCTCCCAATAATTGAACTGAAGAATTACTCCAAATTTGTTGTGTTATATTTATCGAAACTTCTCGACAAACACGCAAGCGTGGACAGCACAAAATTAAGCCAGGAACAGCTATTGGCCATGTTCGATCTGGTCAATAACAAGAGGAATAGTCTGTCCAAGGATCTGTCAAGTGACCTTATCAAGCAATTAATTAAATATAAGGTAAGGGTTCATTTTGAGCTCATATTTATGTATAAATCGATTTTATTAGTTATCGATGTTTTCTATTATCGGAGAGTTAGTCAGAAATATATATTACCAGTTTTCTGTTTCGAACAGAAACAAAACCCACGACTTTTACAGTCTATAATAAGTCGGAGTTAGTATACCACTAGTTCGCGGTACTCAATAATGTTGTTTCCACAGGATATATATTTCAATAGAAGCGGCAATAAGCTACAAGTGACCTTCAACCAGATTATGAAGAAACTGCCCAATCAGTTCCTCAGTGGTAGTACCCTGGACCCCTACAACAGGGTATTAGTTGAGAGCCTAATAGACTGTCTACAGAGGGACGACTCCTGCAATGTCACTTGGAGACAGCTCTTCCAAAAGTGTACGAAGCAATCGGCTACTCTGCTGGATTATATTAGTAAGTAGCGAGTTTTTCTTTAATAGCTGTGTTAAGCCGAGGTTTTACCTAGAGACTACAGTATGGGATTCTTCAAAAAAGGGATATATTAAGGTTTCTTCAAAGTCGGCGACGCGCACGTGACACCCCTAGTGTTGCAGGCGTCCATAGGCTATAGTGACTATCAGCTTGTTTGCCATTCTAAGTTGTATAAAAAAAATCTAACGTGTTGTATGCTTGTTTGCCACCATTGTGGTATAAAAAAGTCTGGGATTTAAACTAGGTGTCCTTTCTCTAAAACTTTTCTTAACCTAATATTTTAATTTGACATTCTTCTTCTATGGACCATCATAAACTAAAATAATAACTTAAACTTAAATCTATTAGAAAGTTAGTTCATATTGGTACGAGGCATAATGATTTTCCTGTGATGTTTTGAAATTTCAAATTGAAATTTTTATTTTAGAAGTAGGTTTAGAGAATGGCGCATAAGAATCGGTCCTATTATCGAAATTATAAAGATCATAATTATCTATTTATAAAAAAAAAATCCGCTTAAACATAGGTGTATAAAGAGTGTAATCGAAGTCCTTTGCTATAATGTAAAACAACGAATGTACCCATTCCATAGAATGTATTAGAACAGACATGAATTAAAAATTCTAAAATGACAAAAAATGTTTAACTACCCCTATGCATCATAGTGCAAGACGCATTGTTTTTTGTCATTATTTGTTATATTTGAGAAAAGGATTCTGTTTCACTGGTTTTAATACGAATATCGTTCATTTCCTTCTCATTAATAAGGACTGTTTTAATCAGACAGCAACTGGGCGGAAGTTAGTCCAAGACTAAAATTGAAATCATTGAAAAAGACAGCAGCCGAATACAAGGAGGTGGGAGCTGACGCCCTCAAAGGGAAGAAGAAAGATGAAACTGTTGTGAAGGCTAACAAGTTATGCCAGGTGAGTTTAATATACAGAGTAATGCCACGGTGATGATTACCTGTCAAAGCAAATATTGGTCATCATATGGCACCATTCTGTAAATTTAAAAATATAAAAAATTACTCATACAATTTTATGGTGTTACATAGCATGCAAACCTAACCTTTTTTTTTACTTCGATATTGCATGACATACTATTTAACAGCTTTTGCATGACATAATATGTGCAGTGTGTGCTCTGGCATAGAATGGGCTACCCTTACCTTTCCCATGGGTATCGTAAGAGGCGACTAAGGGAGGTTGAGGGATGGGCAGCAGCATCTCTCTTAAAACATCTTAAAAAGCCTAACTGCAATTGCCAATCTGCCTGCCAAGCGTGGCAACTACTGGCAAAACTCCCATTATGGGAAAGGCTTTTGTCCAGCAGTGGACAGTTAAGGGCTGAAATAATTTTTATTATTTGTTTAATTAGCATGCAAATACATTAAAAAAAACTATGGTTTTTAGTACCACTTAAACCTCTTGGGCTTGTGTGTGATGGCAATAAATAATATGTTATACAAAATTGAATAAAAGAAAGGTTTAACACCTTTCTTTTATTCAATTTTGTATGAATGTCTCTGTGATTACATGCTTATCACAAATGGACTGTGTGAAAGACGATGTGCATAAAAGAGGAGTCAATCCATGTATGGTAGTTGATAGGGGTTTTCTTCATCCCCTATGTCATACAGTCCATCTGTGATGGATATGTGATCACAGATAGACTGTGTGAAAGATAATGTGTATAAAAGAGGTATGATATGAGTGAATCAGGTATGATAGTAGACAGTATTGTGTCAACTCCAAATAAATGGGAAATGCAAAGATGATGCAGAATCACATACCTTAGATGATGTGTGATGACCGAGAGATTCCTACTGACTAAAAACCTATTCATATTTAGGGCTAAACTCACCTGAAGAAGACTTCTAGTTGAAGTTGAATCAATTGTCAGAAACGACAAAAACATAGTCCCGTTTTTACATACACACTAATCGTATTCCTCGCTATTCTAAACGAAAGTGCTGTGGAGCTCCCCTTTCGGAGTTTTCCATGACACTAACATGATCCTAAATGAAGGGTAACTCAATATCTAGGCGTGAAAGGTATACGCCACACGCCGCTGAAAAATTTGAATGTCCCTATCCAACCGCCGCCCCGAGAATAATAATTTATCCGCTAACAGCGTCACAATGATTATGTGGCAATAAATGGAACTAATTCATAATAGTAATATTAGTTACTAAATCGCTTTATAGAGGCAGCACCAACGTTCGCTCGTTATTCACTTTGCAATATAAAACATTTCAAAAGCTGAAGATTGATTACAGATATCATGACATTTTTGACTATCGCTTACCGTTAGATACGTATTAGGGTACGATAGCGACTTTAATTGCTAGTAATTTTTAAGATTAACCTCCATTTTTCAACAACTTTTCATTCATAAATATAATTCATTATAACAATTTATTTTTCTATATAAAATTGCATTCGACATCGCTTCGCATTGGTCGATCTATAAGATCTTAAAAGAAAACACTTAAATTAACAAAACCAATAATACAACAATTTCGTTATTTATATTATAAAATCTTTGTCTTTACTGACTATCAACACGGAAATATAAGCGGAAGATAAGGATTTTTTAAAATTTTAATTTAAAGGGGAACCACGACACAACGTATGTAAAATAGTTATTATGTTTTGCAAAAACCTATATGTATACGAAATATATAAAAAAAAAAGAAATGTTACCATAGACATTTTTTTTTTTTTTTCATTTATTGTGACTTTGGCGAAAGCCATCAGCCAAAAAGTAACAATTACAAGGTAACAATATAAAATTACAAGATAAATTACAAAAATTATTATAGTTATAAATTAATTATAATATACTAAGAAAGTAAGTTAAGTAAAAAAGTATAAGTTACAATTACATATTTAAATTTCACCAATTGTTGAAGTAATATAATTAAAAATTTCTTGGTACAAAATAGTATGTTTTAGTAGATCCTGCACTGAAGTAGGAATATTTTGACATTTTAATAAATCTTGACATTGACAAATAAAAAGTAAACGTTGAAGTGAGAATTTAGGACAAACAAAAAAAATATGATCCAAATCAGAAAAAATATTTTGGCAGTATTTACAGATAGAATTATCCAATAAATTAATACGTTGCAAATGTGCAGGAAATTTACAATGACCTATCCGCAATCTACTTAATGTAGTATAATATTGTCTACCAAGAAAAACATTAGATTTTTCAAACCAAACCCTCGTTGAAGGCTCAGGCGAAATAACAGCCAACCATTTGCCTTTACTTTCTCTTGTAAGAGATAATGAGGACGTCCAACGACTTAGCATATTTAATTTTAGAAAAGGAATTAAATCCATGTAAGGAACTTTGTATTCTGAAAAACTTAATAAATCAGAAGATTTGGCCAAAGTGTCTACAATTTCATTACCTAGGATCCCGGAATGTCCAGGAACCCAGCAAAATTCTATTGAAATGCCCTGATTAATAAGTAAATGTGCGTAATATTTTATTTTATAAATCAAGTAACTAGTGTTAGCAGAGATAATTTTGCATTTCAAGGCCTGTAACACACTCAAAGAATCTGATAATATTAATATTTTCTTATGTGTAGTAAAAGAATTATCAATGATGTATTCTAATGCATGAATAATAGCTAAAGCTTCAGCAGAAAAGATCGAAAAGTAATTATTACATTTCATTACTTTTCCATATTTCAAAAGAGAATCATAAAAAGCCAAACTAGTCCTGTTTTTGGTTTTAGAACCGTCAGTATATATTTTAACAAAATTAGATTTAGTACTAAGAAACTCAAGAAACTCTGTTTTATGCTTGAATTTTGTTAGAGTTACAGAAATATTCAATATGATAATAAAATAATTAAATGAGAAACATGGCAAAGATGTAGACCAAAAGACAGCATCTTGATATTCAAAATTTAAGTAAGTTATAGAGTCACTCAAGGTGGGAGAAGCTGGTATATCAGTTAAATTGTAATTGGGGATATTGAAGTTTTCCAAATATCTAGATACTATTGTATTATCAACACTGACCAATTTTAAACACTTTTTGTCAATTAGAAAAGATCTTCTAACATGTAAAGGAGCTATACCTGCTTCCACTTCAAGAGAGTTAATAGGAGATGATACCATAGCTCCTAGAATTATATGTAAAGCTTTATTTTGCAAAATATCTAATTTTCTCAATAAATGATCAGCTGCTTCAGTATAGAATATACAACCGTAATCGAAAAGGCTACGTACAGAAGTTATATAAAGAACTTTAAGACTTTTAGGATCCGAGCCCCATTTGAGACCAGTTAAAGATTTCATAATGTTTAAACCCATTTCAGCTTTTTTAATAATGTATTCTATATGAGATTTCCAAGTTAATTTAAAATCTAGAATAATTCCCAGATATTTAACCGTTTCCTGAACAGGAATTAAAGAGTTATTGTAAATAATTTTAGGATGAAACCAAGTCTTTTTATTGAAGGGAACAACACGTACGTACGACTAACTGTGGAAAAAATATAACTGCAAAGCTCCATCATAGAACACATTCTATGTTTATGGCCCCAAGTACACCCCAAGATATAAAAAAAATCATAAGAAACTTAAAAAATACAAACAGTGTTGGATATGATGGTTTTTTAACTAAAATTATTAAAGAGGTAAATGAACATATATGCGCTCATTTAAGCTATATTATAAATTTAAGTATACAGACAGGCATTTTCCCCCAGCAACTAAAAAAGACCATAGTTAAACCTCTTTACAAAAGGGATGATAAAGAGGTAATGGAATCTTATAGACCCATAGCACTGATATCTATATTTTCAAAAATATTTGAAAAATACCTATATACTGAAATTAATGCCTACTTAGAGAAAAATAACATTATCTGTAATGAACAAAAGGGTTTTCGAAAAAATAAAACTATAAATATGGCGATTTATGATTTTTTGGAAAAAGTTATGTCCGAAATTGATAAAACCTCACCTGTTTGTTCTATATATTGCGATATGACACAAGCATTTGATCATGTAGACCACAGCATCCTAATACGTAAACTCGAGGCATATGGGATAAGGGGTAATATCCTTAATTTGATAAAATCATATTTATCAGGTCGACAACAAATTACAGAAGTGACAAGATTAAATTGGAAAACAAAAAAGCAACAAAAGTTTATATCAAAACAGCGCACTGTAACATTTGGTGTACCCCAAGGTAGTGTGCTGGGTCCCCTTCTTTTCCTAATATATATTAATGACTTGCCTAACTTTGTTGACCAACCTATGACGTTATTCGCTGACGATAGTACAGTTACTGTAAATTGTAATGATATTAATTTATATGAATATATTATAAATAAATCTCTGACATCAATAATTGCTTGGTTAAAAAATAATAATTTGGTAATTAATTTAAAAAAGACTAATATTATGCACTTTAATCAAAGAACACAATCTAAATCTAATATTAAAATAATATATGAAAATAATATTATAAATGAAGTTGACACGGCTAAATTTCTCGGTCTAAATATTGACAAAAAACTAAACTGGAAAACTCATATAGACGAAATAAACAAAAAAATATCTAGCCTGGCATATCTACTCTACAAGCTGTCTAGGACCGTAAACAATAACGTGCTACTTACAGCTTATCATGGTTTAGTAGAATCGATATTAAGATATGGCATTATTTTCTGGGGTAATTCAACAAATAAAGATATGGCTTTTAAGATGCAAAAAAGATGTATAAGATCCATGTTTGGATTGAATGTCACAGATAGCTGTAAGCCATTATTTACTAAACATAATATCCTCACTCTTCCGTCCTTATATATATTTGAAATGGCCTTATTTGTGAAGTTAAATCCAATCTTATTTCCACGTCTATCTGATAAAAATTATCGAAATAGACGTAAT